TGTGGCCTGTGTGGTGACTTCAACGGAGTCCAGCGTTATAATGAGTTCACTGATTCAGGTAAATACTAAATAATAAAACTTAAAACAAACTGCGTAAAGTACTCACATTTGCTTAAATGTTTTTTCCCCCTCAGAAACAGGGAATTCTATAACTCCTTATTATGGGGAAGCATGGAAAGTCAATGGTCCTACGGAAAACTGCGAAGCAATCTCTACAGCCCCAAAGACGTGTGAAAATCAGGTATGTTAAAATGGATTTGCTTGAAATAGTTTTACATTTTAACATTTAGGTTTGTGTTAAATTTAAATAAATAATATACTTTGACCCACAGATAGCCCTCTGTGAGATTCTGCTGAAAAAACCTGCATTCCACAGCTGTCAAAACCTGATTGATATTGACTCCTTTGTCAAAGCCTGTGTGGAGGACCTGTGCTACTGTAACAGCAATGATACGTCATGCTTGTGTCCAACCATATCAGAGTACTCCCGTCAGTGTGCTCATGCAGGCGGGAAACCACAGCAATGGAAGAGTGCACAACTGTGTGGTAAGAACAGCAGTCAAAACATTTACATATTCGGGCTTTGATGTTTTCACTGTATTTGTATCAGTTTTGAAATTGTAAAATTGTAAAATTGATTTGTGTTGAATAGAAAAAACATGCCCTTTCAACATGGTGTATAAGGAATGTGGTAGTCCCTGTTCTGACTCCTGCAGCAACCTCCAGAGAAGCCAAGTGTGTGATGATCACTGCATAGATGGATGCTTCTGTCCATCTGGTAAGTTTCCTGATTTTAAAACCAGCACAGATCATATTTGTACATAGAGCAGCAAATGTTACAAAATGAAGCTGTAGTTTTAGCAGCAAGCCAGCACCTGTGTTTTGGTATTTACTTGCCTAAAAGACATACTTCATGTATGAGCTTATCACATTCATTATCTTTGTGCTTGTCCTCTCAAAACTCATCTTTGTATATATTTTTGGCTGCAATCAGTTAGGTGTACAACTCTGTAGCCTTATTAAAAACATTGAAAGTTGACAGGCCACCGACAATAAAATCCAAATAAGGTGCTTGGATTTAATGCAGTTTTTACATTTTAAATGGAGATATGTGGATATACTCAATATTCTTTGCCTAGTAAACAATGTTGTTGACTTTGACATCCTTTAAACTTATGTTAAGATATGTTCTGTTAATTCATGCATGCACATTTTGTAACTGAGAGCACAAATTAAGCAATTCAAAGGCAATTTCTTTTTCCGATGACACCTACTGGGCTCCTTGGGACACTCTGGTGATAAAACAAGTAAAACAAGTGGTAATAAATGTTTTGCAGTACTACACATGTACTGCGCTAACAGGGTTTGCAATGTGTAGAGCAGTTTAAGAAAGCTTAAGATTAATCAGGTCATTGTTTTTCTCCCAAGGGACTGTCTTCGATGACATTACAAAAAGTGGGTGTGTTGCTGTTGACCAGTGCTCCTGCTTACATAATGGCAAGCCATACAAACCAGGCGAATCATACTCAAGTCCATGTAGAAAATGGTAATTACTTCACTGTATTCACTTTATTATAATGTTTACATTTACAACATGCATGTTTATGTGGCTTTGTCCAGTTGAACTGACTGAACTCTGTTGACAGCACTTGTGACCAGGGGAGTGGATCTGTAACCAAATGAACTGTCCTGGTATCTGCTCCATACTGGGTGGCTCCCACATCTCCACCTATGATTATAAAACATACACGTTTCATGGACTCTGCTCTTATGTCCTCACCAAGGTGAGGCATTTAGACTGAAATTCGAACAAAATGACAATATTTGTAAATAAGCAAACCGTTTGTAATTAAGTGCATTTTTATCTTTGCGATATTAGGAAACTAATGGGACTTTCAGTGTCCTTGGTGACCTGGTCAAATGTGAAAAATCAGATCAAACAACTTGCCTGACTGCAGTCACTCTACTACTGCCTAATCAAGTGGTAAAATTACAGTATATTATGGGTCTCTTATATCTGTTGGAAAGTTTGAGATTTACTCAGAAGTTTTTACATATTAACTGTATATTTATATGTGCCATTCGGTATTTTTTCAATTGCAGATGATTGTGGTTGAGGCCAATGGACAGGTTACTTATAACAAAATGACCTCTCACCTGCCTTTTTACAGGGGTAAGTGGTTGTTTCTTTTTGGTGTGCATTCTTCTATAAAGTCAGGATATAAATGAGTTTGCTGAAAAAACATTCTCTTTATTCAAAATGTTTTTTCCTGCGCAGATGACATCACAGTCTTCAGCCCATCGACATTCTTCATTGTAATCCACACCACCTATGGGCTTCAACTTGAGATTCAGCTCACACCCATTATGCAGGTCTACATCAAAGCCAGTGTTTCAAATAAAGGAAAACTGAACGGTGTGTTTTACTTTTTGAGCACTTTTGATTATAGTGTCAAATATCCACCTTAGTGTATATTTGTAGTGAGAATTTAATTAAGTAGTAAGTCAAAGTCATTGTCTTTATCCAGGCCTTTGCGGAAATTTTAACAATGTGGGAGCTGATGACTTCAAAAGCACAAATGGATTGATTGAGGGAACAGCTTGGACATTTGCCAACACATGGAAGACCAAAGCAAGCTGCCCTGATGTGACAAACATACTTAGGGACCCCTGCATTTTGAGTGTAGACAATGGTAGGTGACAGACCACATGTTCCATATTTTAATATCATTCTTCACAACACTCTACCAGTGATGTTTATTTGTTTTTGTAGAGAAATATGCCAAACACTGGTGCTCCATGCTGACAGACCCAAAAGGAATTTTCTCTCAATGCCATTCTACAATAAACCCTCAAGACTATCAAACTGTAAGTATTTCTTTTTGTATGCATTCTAATGTGTGTGGACATGTCTTAATATATTTGTAGGTCTAAGAAAACACACAAGCCCACTATCCTTGTCGGGTCTGACCTCTATGGGGAGACCAAAATGCTGGACCCCCCAAGTTTAAAGGGCTGTTTGAGGGTTAAGACTTGGTTTTAGGGTCAGGCACATAGTTGTGATGTTAAGGTAAGAGTAGTGGGCTAGAGAATGCATTATTTCAATGACAAGTCCCCATGACACAAGTATGTATTTATTGTGTGTGTGTGTGTGTGTGTGTGTGTGTGTGTGTGTGTGTGTGTGTGTGTGTGTTTTATGTTTTTAACAACTGCTCATTTCAACAATTCACTTCCAACTATTCAGTTTTTGCTGCTCCTCTCCACAGTCCTGTATATATGACACCTGCAGCTGTGAAAACAGTGAGGACTGCATGTGTGCTGCAATATCCTCCTATGTCTATGCATGTGCTACTAAAGGGCTCTTACTAAATGGATGGAGGGACACCATATGCCGTAAGTTAAGCCCAAACTATCAAATGTGAAATAAATGCAGTCCACATGGATGTATATTTAAAGTGAATCTGTTTCCTTTTCAAAAGAGAAATACACAACTGGCTGCCCTTCTACTTTTGCATATGACTACCAAATGAAAAGCTGTGGTCGCACCTGTGGCTCTCTTAGTCAGTCAGACCCATCATGTGAGGTTGAATTCACCCCGCTTGATGGCTGCGGCTGTGCTGAAGGAACTTACCTAAATGAGAAGGGAGTGTGTGTGTCAGAGTTACAATGCCCCTGTTATGTGGGAGACACGGTGATACACCCTGGGCAAATGATGACGATTCAAGGACAATCATGGTGAGGATTTCAATATTATGTTTTTATGATTTTTTGGGGGGCATCTTATGGTGTTATTAGTCAGCTGATGGTAGAGAGGTCTGTAACTTTCCTTCTCTTTATTCTTTTCACTAAAGCAAATGCTTTATTGCTCTTTTCTTATCATCAGACCTAAAAGACAGATGTCAAGTTAGCCTGTTTGTGGACAATGACTTACTGATTGAGGAACATTGCAGATCCTAAAAATTAACAGGAAAAAGTTTTTTTCTTTCCACTTTACCTGTCTTTGTATGCATTTCAGCTCTTGCCACAGTGGAAAACTAAGCTGTACAGGAGCCCAGATAAGTGAATGTAGGTACAAAGCACTCAGCCTTTTAACATAGTATTCCTTCTATAGCAATGTGTAGTATGAGCAACAGCAAGCATACAGTTGCGTCCTTTGTAACACACTATCATCCTCACTGTCATCAGCATGCACATATCCAATGGTTTTCTTCAACTGCTCAAGCGCAAAGCCAGGTGCGCAGGGATCTGAGTGTCAAAAAAGCTGCCAGACACTGGACACAGTTTGTGTAAGACTGAGACTCATTACTTTTACTGAATATTCAACACATTAACGTTAACTAAAGCAGCAGGATGTTAATACATTGCTGTTACGGTGTTTAGGTCAGTACACATTGTATCTCAGGTTGTGTGTGTCCAGCTGGCCTACTGTCAGATGGTAATGGAGGATGTATTAAGGACGATCAATGTCCCTGCACATATAATGGAGAATCTTATAATTCTGGAGAGACTGTCACTGTGAAATGCAATACCTGGTGAGTCCTTTAATCCTTTCTACAGTAATGTGGTGCTTTGTTTAGCTTACTGTGTGTGTGTTTTTTTATTGGAGATATATAACATCTTGACATTTTTTCATCTATTTAAATCATAGCACTTGCAAAAGCAGGATATGGAAATGTACAGATAATGAGTGTGGAGGAATGTGTACCATATATGGAGAAGGGCATTACATCACTTTTGATGAAAATAGATTCTCCTTTAATGGGGACTGTGGCTACATCGTCTCTCAGGTATAGTACCAATTTCTGTTTAGTCTGTGATTTGAAAAGTCAGTCTTGTGATACTGACATCAGTATCTTGCAGGATTACTGTGGGGATGATACAGATGGCACCTTCAGGGTCCTGACTGAGAGCATCCCATGTGGAACAACAGAAAGCATCTGCTCCACTGCTATCAAGCTCTACTTAGGGGTACAGAACACCATTTTATGCATTTAAAATCATTTTTAAATGCTAAAAATAACTTTGCATGTTTTGTTTCTTTCAGAACAATGAAATTATTCTTTCAGAGGAAAATATCAAAGTTATCAAACAAGACAAAGGAGAGGACATACCCTTCCATGTCAACACTATGGGTATATATCTTGTCATTGAGGCAAAGAATGGTCTTGTTCTAATTTGGAATAAAAAGACAACACTCATGATCAAACTCAGCTCCACGTTCCAGGTGTGTGAGCAGATATACCGGTATTCAAGTAAATGTTGCCATTTTACAAATTAACTACATCTTATTTTTATCCAGGGAAAAGTCTGTGGTATGTGTGGGAATTATGATGGGAATATCCAGAACGATTTCACCACTAGAAACAAAGAAGTTGTGGTTGATGCCTTTAAGTTTGGAAACAGCTGGAAAGTGTCACCTACCTGCCCCAATGCGGATACACTAAAAAATCCCTGCAGTCTGTACTCACACAGACAGGCATGGGCATTAAAACACTGCAGCATTGTCACCAGTGAAATATTTGCTAGTTGCCATTCAAAGGTAAGAAAAGTGTCACATGGCATGTAATTGCAAACATGGTCATCATTAAACTGTCTACATAATAACTTTACGTAAAATTAGCTATCAGAATATAATTTAGCCTCTACTTACATTTACAATTGTTTTTTTTTTAATAAGGTGAATCCAAAACTCTATCATGAAGCCTGTGTGAGAGACACATGTTCCTGCAACACAGGGGGAGACTGTGAGTGTTTCTGCTCAGCTGTCGCAGCCTACGCAGCAGCCTGTAGCAGGGCTGGAGCCTGCGTGAAATGGAGAACTCCCACAATCTGCCGTGAGTGTTTTATTTGTTTCTTTAAAGGGACAATATGTAAGTATTTCAATGAAATTAATCATATTTTCATTGCCTTATTGTCAGTGGGCTCAAAACTCACTTGTAAATGAACCACACGCCTGTTTTCCGTTGCCTGCATCAGCCACTATTCTGCTTTTAATGTGAGGACTCTGGGTCGGATTCAGCCCTCTGCGGGCTCCCAAGCCTCTCCCGTACTACAGCGACAACACGGCAGCTAACAACACGCAGTCCACTAACATCATAAAACAACCGGCTCACAGCAAAACACAGGCTCCACGTAAGCATACAAAATAATAAAGTTTTATGCGCTGAAGCCCATCAAACAAAACAGGTTCAGTTGATGTCAAGTAAGGACAAAGTGAGCATTTGTAAAGCTTGAGAAACACAGAGAAAGTCACGTTAGCTTTCCACATTACTTCATCAACTTACACGACCCATGTTACTATCCTGTGTATCCTGTGATTTAGCCTGCAAGAAAGCATGTAAATGTAAAAAGCAAATGTGGAGCAATTTGTTTACCAACGTTAGCCTATAGTGATGCAGCCAGGAGCAGCCAGCTAACGCTACAGTAGCTCGGACCTGCCGCTGTTTGCTTCGTAACGTTCAGGTCTGGTTTATTGTGGTTTTACCGATACTCAGGTACACAGCTTCTCCACCTCTCAGTCGCTGTAACTAACGTGATCCACATAATATACAATATTGCAACTTCACAGCGACAACAGCCAAGAGGAAGAGCTATGCACATGTGGGGTGGTGATGGAGCAATGGATAAGACAGATGGTGTGGGAGACCTGGGTTAAATTCCCACTGTGACCCATCCACCGTTGTGTCCCTGAGCAAGAAACCTAGCCCCTAGTTGCTCCAGAGGCGTGCGAACTCTGACGTGAATAGCAGTTGTAAAAAAAGTGCATTTGGATAAAAGTGCATTACCACTACAGTAAAGTTACTTACTGTGGTCTTATTATTATTAAGTCTGGCACAATCTCATAATATTCAGTCCAGCTCACTACCCGTTTCATTATTATCCAATACATGTAGCTGTGCTGATATTGCTGAGCCTCCGGTGAAGGATACACAGATAGTAAAGATAGTTACTGAAAGCAGCAGGCGCGCTAACGCTGTAGCACGTCGGCTAAATGCAGTAAATGTACCATGTAAAGAGCATGGATTAGTTCAACCTGCAGCTGATATAACTATTAATGTCACGTTGCGGTAGGGGTTTATCTGAATTTCCAATATATTGTGTGAAGCTGTCTCCCTACCTGTCTACAGCTGCTGTCACTCTGCCTTTTTCTGTACCACACGTACAGTACCACAGGAACAGGTTTGTATGGTATTTTGGGACGTTTACCACAGGATTGTACCTCAGGCTTTGCGGTATTTTACCAATCTGTGGTACTATACCATAGAATCTGTGGTATAGCACTACAAGCCCTATAGCACTCATCTCACACATTCTGTGGTAATGCACTTCACAAACATAATAATAATAATATTTATTATATAATAATAATAATTATTATTATATTATTATTATATATATATATTATTATTATTACTATCTGAACAAATCTGAACATAAAATAAATAAGTTTATATGGATAGTGTAATTTCAAAGCATATATCGACCCAAACAACAGTGTATCTGTCAACCTGCATCATTTACAACTATTTTCACCTTCGACTACAACAGAAACGCTGTCATGGTTGAAGCAGACTGCACCAGGAGCGTTGTCAGTGACCACAGTGAGGAGTGTCAGCAATGTCTGATTCATCTTCGCACTGCAAAATACAAACAATGCACTTATAAGTAGAGCCTGATCAATTTGGCTGATATGAGCTACTGCACCTACAATAATAACACATTCATTTAACTGCAAATACCTAAAAGACAAGTGAAATTTATAGAAAGGCAGTAATTAAAACAATGGGTTAGAAATAGAAGACAACCATTACCTTAAACACAACAATAAAAATGTAAAGCCAGCGCAGTAAGTAATTACTTCATTGGGTAGAAAATCAATTTTGGGATTTGGATATTCCCACACACACCTACACTTCTGTTTCTTACACACATAATACACATTGACCCACCTCTTTCTGCATCATACAGGGGTAGACACATACAGGCTGTTATCTGTCTTCAACTTTCTTTTTCAGCAGTTGTGTTTTATAGCCCAAAAAACACAGCTTGCGTTTTGGACTTTTTCACCCGCGATTCCAATAGGCTATGTAGGTACAACTACAGGTGAACTGCATGTGGAGGAGGCCCACACTACATTTCTCTCTGTCTGTTTCTCTGCAACTGTCAGTAGACTGTAGCCTACAGGGATCAATCATGGATTGGCTTGGTCTCTTGGATGGATAAAAAGTAAAATAAATCATGCTAAGCACTAAGCAGTTCTGTTCTGAAACCGAAACCGCGACACAAGTCACACAAGACACAAAGTCTATAGTCTCGTGTCGCGTATCCGAGAAGTAGATCCGCGACACACCCACTCCCCGGACTGTTAAGCTCTCATTAAGACAGTGCAATTGTGGCGGCAGCGGACGGTACCGGTGTATATTGCATTTGTATTGACAGCAGGTTATTGTAGGTAATTTTCCACCTTAGTTTAGTATTTATTTACTTGAATCTACTCCTCTGCTCTTCTCCTCACACTCAAACACACCTGGCCTCCACCTCTGGTCTCTAACGACAGACACGCTGGCTTGCTCTGCCTCTTCCTGTCTATCTCTCCCTGTATGTGTCTCTCCTGACTTTCTCCATGAGCAGTACGTTTCATAAAGTCGCCGTGTTTAATAAACTTGTGATTCAGTTTTAATGTGCGCAGCATGTGGATCAAAACCGAAACTAATGTTAGTGAGTGACATCTGCAGTGGTGCGTTCACTGTCGCTCCACAATGTAACATTTCCTCCGTTTCCTTAACGTAATATCAGATAACATCTCTCTCTATGTTTCTCTGCAAATTGTTTAAGTGGGTTGCCAAATATACTTTGGCAGGTGAAAATATACCTGGCCGGCCTGCCTAAGTAAAGTATGTCACAAGAAAAAAAACACTCTAAAGTTAGTGAAAGCTGTAGGCCTAGAATTTGTAAATATTACACCTTGGACCAATTTCATTGTCTTCCAGCTGCGTGTCACGTGACAATTTTGATCCAGTCATGATTGAGGCATCATGGGAGGAAAAAACGAGGTATGAACTGAATCGTGGTTCAAAAATTTAGATCTAAACCGAACTGTAAGTTGGGTGTATTGTTACACCCCTACTCAGTACACAAAATGAAAGTGAAAGTGAGGATTCTCTGTCATGCCAATTTAAAGTAGTTGGCTTTATCATCCTAGTCATCTCATCAATAACAATAAAATGTCACTATTAATAGTAGATTTGTCCCAATCTGTGTTGACTGAACACTGTGGCTATGGCAAAGTTAATCTTAAACTCACCTGGAGGTCGTAACCCCTTAGGATGTCCGCAGTGCCTCTGCTGTCTTGCCTGTCTGTGAGACCTTCTGCATGTGGGCAATCAGTTGTGTTGTGTATTGTCAAGCTTGCAGTAGAATAGTTTGCATATGTTCTACTTTGCAAGCCTACAAACACATAAACACAAATGTATGTAGATTGATACAGAGTTTTAACTTGGGCCTTCACAGAAAAACATAATGAATCAATTAGGCTACTTTTTAAAGCAGGACGGCTGGCTACATGGCAAAGTTTTTACCTGAGACATGGACCACTGCATTGACACAGTATTATGATGATGATTTCAGTCAGGTAATAAATAGCTCAAGGACCATAAAGGAGTTATAATACGTTAATAACAGCATTTCACACAGTCTATAGTAAAAAATTGATCACTGCCAATAATTCAGGTATCAAAAACAATCTGTGACAGCTGTAAATTGCTTCTTTTCATTTAAAAATGTCATCCACTGTGAAATGTTGTTGGCTCCTATAGAAGCAATGTAGTATTTTTTTATCCACCATATGTCTGATTAGCAAGACAGCAATTGTCTGCAGGTACACAGTATCTAACACACAGGATGGTTTATTTATTCTGTACCACTGAGGGAGGAAGAGACCCTTAACTTGCTTTTAATAATGAAGCCAAAACATTCCTGTATGGTCCTTAAAATGCCTTTAACTCAAGTCTTTCAAATCTATGCAGTGTAAAAAGCATTAAGTCCAAATACTCTTAAATAATTAAAAGTAAAATATACCAACCCTAATGTTGATAATCCAGATAATGTAGTGTCACTCAACAATCACTTTGATCCTGCGGGAGCAGATTTAACAAACAATATAATTAATTCCCACTAGTCCAGTAAACAACATCATCATCAAATGCTGATTTTTTACAGTATTTCATAATATATTTGACTCACCTGTACAATAGCTGCTCTTGCCAGTCAGGTGCTTATGGGCATGATGAAAGCAGCACTCTCTATATTCCTTAATACGCACACACACAATACAAGAACACCAACTTTTTATTAGTTTACAAAATAATGGCCATGTAAATACTTCTCTCAAACACGTCGTGAGTTTAATTTTGTGAGAAATAGTTTAGAGAAATAGTAAGACTTAGTTACCAGTTTATTAATTATATCTAGTTAAAAAGTAATACAGTCAAATCCAACATTCCTGCCATAAATCCTTCCTTCATGAAAATGATTATTTTCAGTATTTTGCTAAAATAACTAATAATAAGTATGATAATTTTGGAAGCTGCAGTTTGTTGTGCTGCTGTTGAAGTGTAGCACATGGGCAGGTTTTTCTGTTATCATGTCCATCCCATTAATATCTGTGAGGCCGTGCTAAATAACAGAAACGCTTCTTGCATAACACAATACAGTTCGCCTGTTCACATTCCATGACAACACATAATAAAATGTATTCATCACCAATGAAAAATTTCCACAGTAAAAAAAACTCCTTTACAAATATATATAACGTTCCAGCCATTTCAGGTAATTAACATTAGTCTCTACAATAGAAGGGCTGTATGTTAACTAACGTTAACGTTACTCAACATCTTACTACTTGGCATTTAGCAACAGCTTATAATACGGTAACGGTAACGTTGTTTAGTTAGTTGATTAACTGGCCTGCCTCCACATAACGTTACTGACGTGGTCATACCAGAGCACAGTTGAACACAAAAAAATATTTCATAGCGCTCTGAAAAAAGCTGGGTTATCTCAACTTTGTAAAGTATGTTAATTAATTTGTATTGCCCGTTACTTGACTCAGAAGTGATAATGATTTAGAATTGATATTGAGTTTTCTTGCACTTTCTGTCAAGAGAAGAAACTGTCATTTGTTTATCACTGTATCTATATAGTAAAATATTTTCGTTGGATGTTTACAATTATATGAGAGGGAAAACTTGACAAACAATTCAGTTTCAGGATATATAACATCACACAAAGAGGAGATAATGGAAGCCGTAAGATTCTTGTTCAGCACACACTGTCTGCTCTGGTTTAATCATCAATCAATCAACACACCGATAATGACTACAGACTCCGGCTGGCAGGTATATTTAAAATACACCAGTTTAATGGCTCATTTCAACGTTAGCGCTCTTCCACTGACAAACATTGCATTAGCTTTGTGGCTAATTTAGCAAAGGGCTGCGTTAGCTGCTGTAACGTTACGTGATTTTAGAAGAATATTTAGAAGTGATGAACTAGGGATAAATGTGGACCGTTTACTTGAACTGCCACATTGTTTGAAATAAATCTACAATCACATTTGTCAGCAGCGTAGCTTCCAACACCCAACTAACGTAACATTTAACTGCTTTGAGCCAGGAGGAAGCCGGGAGAGGGCAGTGAAAAACGGGAGGGTTATTAGCAAGTCATGAATGTTTTCAGGAGAAGAGATTGGGTCTGTTTTTATTATAATTATTTAAGTCATGAAATTAACTAGATGAAGAACCAAATCACCACTAACACAGCCCTCTCTGTGTTTTAACATACAGCGGGCAAGCTGGCTCCGTTAGGCTAATTTGCGATTCCTACTATGGCGAAGGCAAGTCCCACCCTCCTCTGCCTCTGATTGGCTCAGCGTGACGATGACGTTTACGTAGCTCACCCATCAGCTTTTTTGAATATCAGAGATTTTTGCTCAGTGAGTGGGTAAAGAGAGAGCGACTGATTTAAAACTGTCACTTTCAAGAGTGTCACAGAGTGAAACCCCGTAGCTGTGACTTCGGCCGTGTTCACTGGTGTAACAGGGCCACTGTGCTGCTTGTCATCATAGAAACAAATCATCATATTTTGATGTTTATTACACCTTCAGCAATATCGGCTGCCTGCCTTTCATAAGTTTTGGAAAAAAATAAAATAAAATTAACATATATAGAGATATATATATGAGCAAACCTAGGAAGAGAGGGGGTTTGGGGGTGCAGCAACCTGGTCAAGGTGTAGAAGAACCGCTGATATAAACCATCAGAATTTATCTGGTTAATTCAAATGAACATTAATATGGTCTGACGAATCAGTGGGACTTTACCCATTGAAAGGGGCGATATTATGTTGAGTCAAAGCTTACTTCTATTTTAATTCAAGCCGTTGCATTAAATCAGAGCAAGGGGTTAAAATTATAGTATTGCTAGCTGCCTTCGCATGTCTTTCATCCCCCAAGTGGCTGCCGCATCTTAGTGGCCCAAAAAAACGTTAATGTTTCTTCTCAACCTCCGCAACTATTTTGCTCGGTTTGACAATTTCGAACAAAGTTGCTCAACACAGCAGAAGAGCGAAAACCTTCTGTTTTCTTCTAGAAACATCATCGTCGTGCTGAGCCAATCAGAGTCAGAGGAGGGCGGGACTCCTTCGCTATAGTTGGATTTGCAAAATCACTTCGGTAGGCTCTGATTGTATTCTTCTGTGGTTTTTGTGCTGAGGCAGTGTGGTTAACAGGGGAGCTGTAGGGCGCCCTCTGGTGGGCAGACTATGCAGCACCCATAACATTGAGAACACTACAACACAGTCTCACACTGCTGAGATAAATACAAAACAATACTACAAAAACAGGTTATAAGTAATGGTGCTTGTGGTTCTCCCCCTTAAAAACCTTTTCACACAATGAACAAAAGAAATAAATATAAGCATGTGCACATTTTTTATTCCTTAGTGTGCTGTACAGTACAATACACCAGACAACTAATTATTCTGCCCCAGCATCCTGTCTTTGGTCTGGGACAGGCCAGAGATTCTTGTTCTCCACCTCCTTTGTCACCTACTCCTCCTCTGCCTCCTCCTACTCTTACTGTTCCTCTTCCTTCACCTCTTACTCCTCTCCATACTGCTCTTCCTCATCCTCCTCCTCCTCTCAGGTGTCCTACACCTCTTCCTTCAGATTTCAGATCCACTGTTCCAAAACTGATTGAACTGACTCTGGACGTTTTATTTATCTATTCTGCTTTTTTTGTTATCAATTTTGACTGTTTGTGTTTCCACCTAGTTGTGTGCTAATTGAGCTCACCCTGTGTTAATTGAGTGAACAATATGAATGTCAGTGCTTTCTCAATTACCACATGGTGTAGGCAATGAGAAATGAAGGGATTTGTGTGAAGAGTTTAGAGAAATGGGGTGCTTTTTGAAAAATGAAGTTGAAATTTTAGTTTAAAAGCCTGGTTATAGTGTTTAAGCAATGGATTAAAAGCCTGGTTATAGTGTTTAATTAATGGAGAAAACTGTAATTATAACATTTACAAATACAGCCTGAGTGTCATATTAGTATGAAGGTTTTATACATGATCTTTTAATAATTATGAAATTCTTGTATGTTGTTAATGTTGCTTTCTTTTGTTTCTGTAGCTCTATTCTGTGATTACTACAACGATGACGGAGAGTGTGAATGGCACTATGAGTCTTGTGGAAAACCATGCATGAAGACATGCAGGAATCCCTCAGGAATCTGCTACAATAAAATTCCACCATTAGAAGGTATAAATGACATGATTGTGTATGTATGTTATAGGTTATAATTATATTGGGAGAGCTGACCATGCATGCTCTTTTCTAGTAAAGCAATTGTGCTTACTGTGGTGACTATTAACTTTCACCGCTCAGAGAATGTCATGTGGTTTACGCTACTGTCCATCTGTATCTATCCTATGCTAGTTTTGCAATTTACAGTAACTTTTTTTTTAAGGCTGCTATCCAAGATGCCCACCTGAACGATCTTATTTGGAAGAAGCTACCATGAAATGTGTGTCAAAGCATGAATGTGGCTGCTATGATAACGAAGGGAACCATTATAAAGAAGGGGAGGTCATCCCTCCAAAGGAAAACTGTCACAAATGGTAGGATATTTTTAGATCTTATTGATGCTGTAGTTGATGCTTTCTATTGGTTTTACAAACAATGATTTAATGAAATGATGTATGCTAAAATCATACAATCATTTTGTTTAGCTGTATTATAAAATGAAACTATTGCAGAATTAGCAATCCTCATACAGAATATACTGTAAATATATACCTATACATTAAATTAAATAAGGTAATTGTGAAAATGAGACAGTTCATGAACCCTGCTGCACTGTCACAGTCTGGGAACCCTGTGGATGAATACTTGAACATATGCCTACAAGCTAAATTCAAGTTTCTAGACATATTGTATATTTAAGTCATCATGTCTTCCATGCTGCACAACCTTGAGCTAATCGCCGAAATGCCTGTTTGTTGTGAATACAGACTTTAAACGATGATACCTGTAGTCAGTGTCCTGGATACCGGTGTTTAGATGGTAACACAGGGTGGACCAGCAGGAATGGACAGTCCTCATGGAGTTATTAGTAAGAGTGGTTTTAATTAGGGCCGAGCATGAAACATGCAAGGACCCTGTTTAAAGTGTAAGGATTATTCTTTCTCCCAAATAAATCACACTTTTGACAGCCTAAATTACATATTTTAAGGGTCTCGGACATGAGCGTGGCAAAAACCACCTACAAAATTGGAAAGAATTTGCCCGCGCGGCATTCAATACATGCACCAAATTTTGTGGAGACTTGTATAATATCAAGACACACAAAAAGCCTCCACAACCCATACCCTAAACTCAACAGGCAGCCAGCCATTTTGAATTGAAAGTATGATTTTAACTAATTTTCACAATTTACAGGGTGCGTACTTTAAAAACTTCTCATACAGAATTAATCTGATCAACTTGAAATTTCTGCTGTGCCTTCTAAAGACACTGAAATGAAAAATTGTGCTATCTGTAAGTTTTTGTCAATAGGCATGTCCGTGGCATGGCGTCCAAAATCGATGATTCGCCATGAAACAGGAAGTTGTTATAACTTCAGTGATCATGCTCACATCTGCACCAAACCTTACAGTTGGTTGACAGTCCAGTCCTGAAATATCCATTATGCCAAACACGCAATGTCATTGCCCCACCTGCTGGCAACAGGAAGTATCAAGT